TTATAACCTAACTACAATTGTGAGTTTCAGCGATAGAGACACGTGTAGTAAAACATAACAATGAATCCACGGCGTTTTAGAGTGAGTCATAGTTTGTATTTTACCTCTATACCGCCCCGTCAAGTTTGACCAGTCATGAAGGTCAATGACGCTTGGATGTTTAATTTTTCTAATCGACAATGGCAATTCTATTTACTGTCACCATGTGTGAATGTGTTATGTATATAACTGTACATTTAAACGTGTAAATCTAACTCCCATCTTAGCAATAAGTGCAATGGAATATAACACTACAACATTGAACTTGAAGGAATTGCACCCAACTATACGTCAGTAAAAATGAAATAGAAAACTTTTGCATAACTAGCATCTGATACTAACTTTTTTTTTTATTTATTTTATTTTTTTATTTGAGATACCAACAGGTTTCCCCAATAACAGGCACTCAAATACAAAAAAAATACAAAAATATTCACAGTTCACAGAAATAATATTAAATTAAAAGAAAGACCCAAAGTTCATGGCATTTAAAACAGATTTCTTAAAAGAAGATAGACTCGTAAAAATGTCTACTGAACCAGCAATATAAATAAAATTTGAAAAGTCAAGACAACGAGGGATAAAAGAATATTTTCTGAGATTACTGTGACAAAGAGGTAGTTTGAAGGAATATACGGAGCGGAGATTTCTGGAGGGAGCATGAAAAGGAATGTTGGAAATAGTGTAGGGAGAATCAAAAATATTAATAATTAAATAAAACGAAGGTATAATTCATGATACAGTAATGATCCAAATGGGCGAGAAATAAGTAACAAAGTTTTGTTGGACCCGCTCAACTTTACCAACCAGGTATTTTTGGTGTAGTGACTAGATTTGAGTACAGTATTCAACACGACTTGATTTTTTTCAATTTTATTTTAATATGTTCATTCTCATTTGTATTTATGTTTCACTAATTAAAAATATTTAATATAACAAAGTAATCACATTTATTGTTATATATTTCACAATTGTTACAATAAGCAAGCAAATAAGCAAATCTCAATAATTGTGTACAAAAGCTGGTGGGACAATCAATACATGGTACTTAAAGTGAGGAAATATAGAGCGACTATCCACTTTTATTTGTTTTTTATTAATTTTGTTTGTATGACCATTTACGTTGAAAATCGACATATTAAAAAGCAGGATGTCCATTTATGTGAACAACTATTGCATCTCTACCCTAACTTATATTGTGTATACATTTTTTTTATATGTAATGTGCATAATTAATGTATATTTAATAAATAAAATATTCATTGGAGTTAATGATAAACCGCATTTTGCACTGGGGTGGAAAAGACGTTTTAAGGGTTTAATTCAGTCTCACATAAGAACATACAAGAATGTGTTTAATACCATTCATAGAAATGTTCAATACAATTTAAAATGAGAACAAAACTTTAAAAAACCCATTACAGACATTTTCGCCTGATAGGGCTCCATGAGTCAAAATTTCTCTCACTGTCACCCAATAGTTGTTCAGGGAATACGAGTGATGAGTTTATGTTGATCCTTATTGGTAAAAACCAGGGCCTGAATTGCCACCACTGAACAACAGCTATGTTATGACATGTGATAGCATCGAATGTCACATGTCATTTACCCTTTGTAGTGTTTAGCGCCATCAGGCGGACGTTTTTATTTGATTTATACTGAGCTTGTAAACTCATGATTTTATTTTTATTTATTCATTCGGTTACAATGACAATTATGTTTCCGTCTCAAACTGAAATTAAACTCCCATAGACTGCAACATGAACATTTACAAAAGCACGGATATTCATTATTCAACTACACTGGTATTTACAAAATAATAAATGTTGACACCGATGATTACTCGCTCTAATTGTAGTTCGCCACTGTAAATTAAACTGGTTTTATAATTAACAGCGGCTTTTTTATTCGGGTATTTTATTGAATGCACACTTTAAAATTAGAGTAATTATAGAGTGAGACATTTAGTACCCGAATTGATTACTCTTGGAATGGTGTGTGTCAAATACACATAAAAGTCGAAGGGAATATTCATTTGAAATCTGGGGGCAGGCAAACATTTATCCACTATTATTTTAACATATGCCTGATGATAATTTGTTTTATTCGCCCTTTTCATTTGGATTGCATTATGGCAATCGTGGGACCCATATATGGGATGTCGTAGTTCAGAACGCCGACTGGCTACCCAACTAGCTTATTTTGTAATCTGACCTGTCCCACTTTTCCCACTTAATTTAAATGAAACTATAAGTAATGCATAGTATTGGAATTATACGATCCTTGTAAATTACAGCAAATATTCGAAATTACCGTTTTACATATTCTATATTATGGACGTACTTAGCCAGTGTTGCACATGGTACACTGTTGTATTGTTTTGTATACTGTTTTTCTAATTACGAGTAAAGCATTGTATTTTCTGTCTGACGAAATAAATATATGTAATATTCTAATGTATCCGTATTCTCATTCATACTAGACCCCCCCCCCCAAGTCGGATGTGAAAAGTATTCTACAAATAAAGATCAAATCCACTGAACTCTAGAATTTAGGCAAATTTCACTGCAAAAAAATTATAACAGTTATATAAATGACCAAAAATGACAGTACAAGTCAGCACTGAGATCACGACAAGGAATGTGTGATGCAAATTTGATTGAAATCCATTCATTGGTTGTAAAATCAAGTAATGAATATGCAATCACTATGGCATACAAGTTTTGAATTGTGTTTGTGTGTTTTACATATTCCATGAACAGGGAAAACACAATATTTGAAAAGTTTATTGTAAATAGTAGACATGTTATTAAATCCAACTTTGCTATGTTTCAACCTAAAAAATAGAATATTTGCTTCCTTCAAAATGTATTTCACACCAACTAAATTCAACGCAAAATCACTAGGTCGCCTCTCAGATGTATCGTATACGCATTTTATGTTTTCAAATGTCAAAAATGCAACCAATAAAAACCTGTCAGTTACAAACGTAAAATCGGCTAAAATAACCTGAAATTAATTTCAGTGTTTGAAGATGCATCTGTAATTTGATTAATTTTGATAATCAGTGTGCAGATTTGTAATAAACGCAATTGCAATGAGATTAACAATACATCAAAACCACCTATAAACTATTTGTATTTAATTCAAAGATTTGATTACAAATTTGATGAAAAACTAGTAGATTAGCGACTTAATATGCATAGATTTGGTCTCAAACTATCAAATCGAATTCAAATTCAGGAAGCGGTTCTCAAATACAACTAAAAAATACTACTAATCAAAGTTATATGCAACTCAAAATGAAATACAGCGGGGAGTTTTTTAATTAGTCTAAACAGTTAATAAGCAAATTAGCCTAAAATTTGGTTAAAATCCGTAAATTTCAAATTAGGTTGAACTGTGAAAATCAATACGCAAACATGCACATACGTAGGTAAAAACAAACATACGAGGTTTGGAACGAATAAGTTGACATGGATGTCAAAAACTTATAAGAGCGGTGATACATTTCTAGCTATGGAATCGTGCGACCTTGCTCACTAAAGATGAGAATTTTAGGCTTCTTTGGAAGGACCCTGCTCGTCGAAAAGGCAAACTGCGCACATACGTATTAATAAAACAGTATATACTAACAATTACAGTATCGTGCCAGTGTATCAGCATGAATCTTGCACGCCCCCAACGCTCATATTTGGCAAAGTTGTGTGTAGAGACAATTTCATTTTAATGTAGCCCACCATTTGGTTCTCCAGCAAAGAATTTTGGGTGAAGTGAGACGTATCCACTGTTATGAAAAATTGAGAAAATGCTTTCTATAACTCGAGAAATACTGAGAATTAGTTCAAATTTTCAGTGTGCACATTACTCGTGTAAACTAAGACCAAATGAAAAATTGAAATCCAAATGAACAAAAAATTATTGCCACAAATGTAAAAATTATTTTGGTCGTTAATAGAACGACACTTTCTCCCTTTGTGGTCAACATGTTATACATCACCCGTATAACCTACTCGCATCGATAAATAGTATAGAATATCCAAAAGATAATCGCAGAAATGAATATTTAGATATAGTTGACATGACAACTATTTTATGTGCACGCGTTTGCGTTTTTTAAACTGTCTGCCAATTTGAAGTTCAACTTGGGAAGTTGAATGAGATTTACCTCACAGTAGACATGTCACTTCACTATAATCCTTTGAATACAGATTGTGGACTGCATAAAGAGATAAAAAAATTACAGAATGAAAAGCGATACAAAAAAACTTGTCTTTTACAGTCCCCAATCTTTCATTTGGGAACATTAATTTGTTGGCGAATGTCATTGAGTGAAAAGTCGAGGCTATGCACGAATGCTCAGCGATAAGCTTCATCGATTGTTGAGTTAGTTTCACCATACCGAGAAATGTATTGAAAAGGTTTAAACTGAAATATTTATTCGTCTAAACGCATCTAGTCAATTATTTGCCACTTTCGCATATGCAAAAGTTTTCTGCTCTTTTTTTTAATGTATTCATATATAATAAAGACAGAAATAAATAAATACCAGATCGTGTGGTTTCATACTTTTATTCAGTATTCAGTGATTTGAACAGCGTCATTATGCAAAGGAATTTATTTACAAGTGTCGCGAGACGTGATAGTTGTTTTATTCAACTTGAACCTATAGCACTATGACAACACACAAATCTACAGCACTACAACACTTACAGCACTCGTAATTCGCTAGTCTATTAAATAATTAATTGAATTATTTGCTGGTCACCAACAGCCAAATACCTCTGTCTCCTGCTAGTATTTCAGAGTAGTTGTGGGAAGGGGGGCAATGAAAAACACACCCTATACATGGTCAAAACAAATTAATAAAAATTGTTTAGTTGTATCTTTATAACGATGTCGTTGTCTATGCTGGAATAAGACTGTCGATGGGTTTTCCTTGTTCCAGCAGTTTCTCCATATCCACAAGCAAGTTCACGCCATCAACGACACTTTGTACTTGTTGTACTTCAGATGAACCTAACCTGTCTGCGTTGGAAATATCGAAAGTACCGCCCTCAGCGGCAGTGTCCACACCACCTGAAAAAGTGAACGAAAGGTGAATTGAGTCGAGCACATTTCAGTGTTGTTCAGTCCAATATCAATAAGTATTGCAGAAAAAAAAATCACGGATAGAAAAATAGAAGTTATGAATAATCAAAGTGGTCGTTGAACAACATTTTCTAATTGTAATCGAACAATGCATTTCTCACAGTGCTATATTAGAACAGGACACGTGTCATAATGACCATGCCCTCAAGGAGAACACTGTGGCTGCATCACTGCCAGTGCGAGAATGGTCGTTTGATCCACAACCACAGTGAAAGTGAAAGTCTCTTACCGGTTCCACGCTTCTGCAAGTTCAGTTTCTTTAAAATTTCCTCGAACTTGGGATGTGCGCTAACCTTCGGTATTTTGAGGTGCACACCACCACGCAGTCCAGTACCCAAGTTAGATGGACACGTTAGAACATAGCCCAAATGCTCATTCCACATGTACGAGTGGCCTTCTTTCGTTATCAACTTCTCAACCTGGAAATAAAATAAATACGGTAATTAAATTAATACTAGCACAATGTTTAAATTGACAATCTCAATGCAGGGGACGCGAAAGTTAAATTCCAGATGTTGGTGACGTGAAATATACATCTTTATAATACTACCCCAGTTGTAGATTATGACAAAACATTGCAACAATAAAGTCAGTATACGAACCTCATTGAGACCATTGCAGAAACGGGTGAAGACTTCCTTCATGTTACCTCCCTTCTGCATTGAAATCACGCGAGTGTGATCTTCCTCATTGATCCACACCAAAAAGGTCTTCTTGTCGTTGTGCCTAGTAATGTAATAGAGAAGTTATAACCAGTGGTTTATATGGTAGATGGATAGAAATTGTTGTCATTGTAACAACGTAGAAACCACTCATAAATTATGTACAAGAATATAAATATTTGTTAAAATGTATAAATTAGAATTAACCAATTTAACGAAATGTATATCTACTCAACATGGACCTACTTGAATGTATGAATATGCGCGATTTTGAATAATTGAATTTAGTACAGTTCAGAATGTAAATATAACAATACAAATTTGCATGCATATTTAAACAAAGCAATCTAACACAATCAAGAAATACACAAAATGAAATGCAAAAACTTTTTTGTTCTACCGTAGTGCATGCAAGTTTTGGTGACAAATACAGATATTAAAACAATAGATAGACATTGATAACTGATAAGATTTTGTTTTTATATCTTTACAATAAGCTTCAGTGTGATGCGAATGCACAAATCTAAAAATGGATTAGATAATTAAAAGTTTTCTACATACCAGATACCACGCGCGTCGGGCCAGTCACGTGCCATACCAGCACATGTCAACAACGGAGATACAGGTTTGTCGAACAAGAAATGGTCAGCAATAAGCTGTTCCTGGTCTTTATCTGTCATTCCCGTGAGTGGATAATACTTTCCCTTCAAGTCACCTGACAGACCAGCTAGAGCTGCAGGACACAAAATAGACACCAGTTGGGAAGAACATGCGACAAAAGATTCCGGGTGGGGGTAAACTAATCTTCGGAAACAAGTTCTACAATTCGCACAATGATGAAAACGTTTTTCAAAATTAGTCTTGACACAGACGTCATGTTTTTAAACAGAAAATTATTCGAGTAGTCGTGTGCTGTAATGCACTCTACCAGTCGTGAAGGCCACTAACCTTTGGTGACAATTTTCTCAATTGCTCGCCTCTCGCCTCGGGTGCAGAATGGTGGCAATGCAATTCCCTTGATGCTACGTCCAGTACGTACACGGGAGCTCAATACATACTTGTCGTCCAAGATGCCTCCTTTCAGGTTAGCGGGATTCAGATCAGTCTTGTGTTTATCTGAAATATTAAAAGGGGAGGCGCATGTCGCGTGTACTTAATTACATGCTAGCCATTTAACAATTGTTAAGATTGTTTTTTTAGAAGGAGTTTTTAAACAATTCTGTTATAATACATTTCTTGGTAGAGCAATAGTATTGATGCATCTCTAGACAATCAGCGTTAGGTAAAGAGTAAAACACTTTCTATTGGGAGAAAAGTGATCAAATAATTGCAACATATCGAAATGCATTTTGGAGTTTGCAAAATTGATAAGGCCGCCCCTTAAGTAACTGGGTAAGATTAAAATAGAAGGAAGAGTCCTTGTGTTGATATGGCATGCTCATGTAATATTGACAGATTTCTACAACCATTATTTACATCTTCCTCTGGACATTCTTGATAGACTCTTGCAAGTTTCTTTCAGTTTAACACCACATGTACTATTATTAACAATCGTTGTATTGTAAGTGTAGATGTTTCAAAGTTGTAGCAAAGTCTAGCCCATTCTTGACATTGATGTAGCATTCTACGTTAGACCAGATTTTTCCAAAAATTTTCAACAAAATCTTTAAATATATAGGCGCTGGACTAGGCGATAATATTGAACTGTACCAAGATTAAACATTCATTGAATCATGGAGGTATAAACAGAATGGAAATAATTGAAGAAAAAATACCAGGTATCCTAGACACAAATTGTTAACGACGAAGCCAACATAGGACATGTTAATGTGCGACACGTGTAATGTAGTTGTAAAGTTCAACCTTTATCTAAAATCATTATAAATGTACATGGGGCTGGCAGGATAAGGATTAATTGCAATCCGTCAACTCGTGTCAGATATGGTTCTGAGCCGGCATTCATTAAAATATAACCGTCATTTTGAATGTGATATAAACTAATGACGTGCCTTCCATAATGATTATTGTATGTATTGGAATGACAAATATGATTTTGATTATTTTTTAGCACAAAAATGGCCACCATTCGACCATCTTGGATCGGACCCTGAAACTAATCAACGTGCGTTTGTATGGGCCTGTACAATCCCAAAAAAATATTGTATCTAACACTTCGCAGCCTAATACTCGTATTGGAAATGCGCATTTACCAGTTTTCTTGTATCCATTGTGACGAGCAGAAATGACGGGATCAAAAATGTCTGCGAAGACGTCATAACTTTCTTCATCTCCTGCTACCATGCCAACAGTCATAATGAATGGATGACCTAGATGCAAAATACAATAAACTCTTATAATCAAAACATCGGTAAAAATGCACGCAATCCTTTTTTCAAGGTGTAAAAACAATGATAACGCAAAGACCCAATGTTAGTGAAAGATTACTACAATTTTGGCTTTGCGGAATTAATGTTCACTGAATGCTGCATATGAAAACATTTTCATCAACCAAGACAAGAGCAAAAATGAACAATTTACAGCGTTTTTAAACATTTCAAACTTGTGTCTACATACCTGGGTTATCGACACCAGTTTGTATAGCTTGGTCCAGAGTAAAACCACCTGGAGTGACTTTATCACGAAGATCAGCGTAAATTTTGGGTGTCAAACATTGCGACATATGATTGTTATGCTTCGATAAATCAGGATAATCTTCTTCTGGCTTGTATTTCTTCTGATTTAAGTTAGACATGTTGATTCACTGATGAGAAAAAAAATGTAAATATAGCATGACATTTTGTTGCGCGATGTATCGGTTAAAAACCGACTCCAATGCGAAGTATACCAAGCTCTTTATAATCTAGCGCATATTACTATATTAAGAGCCTCAATTGATTATTCATACATTTTGAAATCGACAATATAGCAACTTGGATGGGCTCGTCCATTCGTTTCACCAGGGGAATGTTATTCACACGGCTTAATTTTAATGTTACAGACAAAATTCGCCACGTATAAATTCACTGGTTTGTGAAGGAAACAATACATTTTATTAATTTTACTGCGTTTTAATTTAGTGCCTTAGCTATTGGGGAACTATATAGTACGGAGAAATTGATACAGATTAATGTCACGTGCCAATGAAATCTTATACTCGTTGAAACATAGGAAGTCAGTGAACGCTGGTGACGTGCGATACTGGAGTATTTTTAGATATAAACTGGGTGTCTAAGGTTAAACAAAGTTGAGCGACACCCCTCTACCAACACGACCTTTGCAACCTTAAGTCAAAGGTGTATCATACTATAAATTACAGGTACGATCCAGTCCAAATGTGACTGGATAACAGACAATCGACCTTTTCACTGCAGCTGCTTTAATCTGAGGTGAATAGCCTCAGTGTGTAGGGTGTCACGTAGGGTGTTTAGTTACACCGCTCTTTGATTTTTTATTACAATTGTACACAATTAACAGACTTAATTTTGAATAATATCCAGATTTCAAACGCCCATGTTACGTGGTTTTGAGACATAGAACTAGATTTCAATCTATAGAATATGCATATCACGCCATTTCTGTAATTCAAACAATTCTCTTTATATTTGAATGAATACTATCATAGTCGCCGCCCGTTGTGATGATAATCAATATAGATTTGACAGGTCTGAACTTTGGCCATCTTCTCGTCCGTTGAAATGCATCTAGGTTATGCGATGATAATCACGCAACAGACAAACAGCAGGCATCTCTCACGGGAACCGGCAAAACCCAAACGAGCTTCCTCTACTATCCCAGAAATCCGCAATGGAAAGTGCGCAGACTCTCATCCGTGACAGCCTTAAACTAGGTCATGTATTCTATATTCAAACTCAGAATTCTAATTCACCATTATAGTCGATTTCAAATAAAGCATTACGTGACTTGATAAATTAGGACCATATGCTCACAGTGTGTATGAATGGCTGTTTAAGAGCGATGAGAGGGAAACACTCCAGGAATCTGTCGAGTATGCCACTCGCATTTTATTACCTCAGAGGCCCCATCGTCAAATAATGAATCTGCACTACTCGAAAATCGCTATATATAGCGCATTCATAAAATGGCAGGTTTCACAGGTTAAGATGTTTACGACCATGCACAGTTATAAATACTTCATTAAATTTCAACAGTTTTACGCAAACTCCCTACATTTTAACGATACAGGAAATAGTAAATGAGTATATACAAAGCGATTCAGATTTAAACCTCGTAATCGTAACGAGTTGAAAAATATTTGTAATACCAAATCTACTCTAGAAGCAAATAAACATCACTATAATACGTATCCATTTGATGAAACTACTTCCGATCTAGGGACATTGCAATAACCTACTAGTTTTTCGAGCTCTAGACTAGAATTTTGTGAAATTGTCTTCAACAAAAGAAACGACAGCGGCTGCAACCCTGCACAAACTACCACCAGACACAAACAGCTGTCATGTCAGTGACCGTACACACGCTGCACACAGTGCGTTTATGTAGGCACGTAGGTCTTTGCGTGTCGATTTCAGAGATGCACTAGTAAAATGAAAATTGCATTTTTTTTCAATTCCGCCTTTTGCCGGCCAGTTAAATCGATCTGCGCAGGCCGGTTAATTGGACACATGGAAGTCGAACACTATGCGTTAATTGCTGTCCAGAAATGTGCGTTAAAATGGTTATCAAGCTAGTTGCTCTTACCACGCCAGTTAAACAAATTAATGTGAAGTTTTAAGTTTTTTCCTATTAACGCCAAGACGAGCACCAGGATACAAGTCTATGTTAAGTATTATAAACACATATCATGGACAGCGAAACCGTTGGCCCATGGAACTATTATAGTTTCATGGTTGGCCCAAGTGGTTTCTAATATTGATGCATATATTACCCAGTGTGCGCCGTTATATGGATGTATATATTTTTAAATTGGTATACAAAGTAAAGACAAATACTAATATTGTTATACGAGTTTGTGGTTAGTCATGTAATTTAATTAAAGGTGACTCACCCTAGTTTACTGAGACTGAGACAGTAGCAAGAGAGAGAGGTCTGACGCGCAGTGCTGAAGTGGCTGCTGAATGCAAAGTATGCCAAACGTGTAGAACATGACAAGCACTCGGTTGACGTAATTATATATCCTAGCCCTGGATTGGTTATTCAAATTGTGTCAATTTAACATTGCCGTATATGGTCTCCTTGACGTTTTGCGGCACACGTAATACAAATTGTCGTGAATCACAGTGTGGTAAAAAAAATGGTGGCGTAAAAAGGTGTGTTATATTCTTGTCATGGCGGTGAACACGTGAGTTATTAACTTTGCTGACTTCCGTATTACTTGAACAATGAGTTTCAATCAGTACAAGGACAAGATAGAAGAAGGGGACACGGTTATACTTTTTCTTGGGGTAGATGATACGTTGACAATACGAATAAAACATGGTAAAACGCACCAAACTAGGTACGGGGCTGTCCGTCACGCCGATCTGATTGGTAAACAGTACGGAAGTCGAATAACTTGTATTGGTGGAAAGGGGTGGTTACATGTATTACACCCAACACCGGAGTTATGGACAATTACGTTACCACATAGAACACAGATCATCTATAGTATTGACATTAGCATGATCACGCTACAGTTAGACCTCAAACCTGGATCGATTGTTTGTGAGTCAGGTAAGTACCCGGGAAGTACCCCTTCATTTACTCATCTCTTGCTTATTATATGCAGATGTATTCTTCCCAAAGTCAAAAAACGGCCTTCAAAATGCAATATTATTGTAATAAATAGAAACTTGAAGTAAATGTTTTAAAATCTAAAATCGTGATTTTCATTAAATCTGGCAAAATCATAACAAAACATAAAATTTTATTTAATGGAAAACCACTGTACAGTTACCTAGGTTTGAAACTAAACACAACTGGTAAACTTATCAGAGCTTAAGAAGATCTCAGCCACAGAGCGATGAAAGCTTTCTTCAAAATAAAACAATTGTTATACTCTGAAAACAATATTCCAGTCAAAACAAACATACCTAAATCTATTTGATAGTATGGTTAAATCTATCCTGATCTATTGCCACAAAATTTGGACGAGCGACTGCGTACTACAAATAAAAGATATTTTTTTGATATTGGGCTACCTATGGAGAAATTTCATAACAAATTTTGCAAATACATTTCACAGGTAAACTGTGAAGCCAGTAATTTGGCATGAATTTTGGAATTAGGTAGACACCCTTTTTTTCTGACTAGTATACAACAAATGATAAAATATTGGCTAAAAATAAAAACAAAAAATGAAAACACACTAGTCCATGAAGCATACAGACATAGCATTGAGATGGATGGTAAAGGTACACTTAATTTGGTATCTGGTATCAAAAATATTTTGCACTATCTGGAAATGGATAATTCAAGGGAAAATAATGATCCAAATTGTAACACCAATCTAATCAACACAATTTGCATTAAACTCAAAAAAGTATTTAAAAACAACAGTCAAGAACAAATGCATGATGATAATAAAAATAAAAACAAAAAGAATAAGCTGCATACATATAGTCTGCCAATTGACAAATGCAAAACATAGAGCAGCATTAACAAAATTGAGAATTAGCGCCCATAAATTAGAAATAGAGACACAACAATATAAACAAATTCTTGCGTTCAAAATGAGATTGAAGATGAAATGCACTTTTTACTTGAATGCAAGCTGCATGAAAATGAGAAGACTGAAATGTTGAAGGAATTAAATTTAATACATTGCAATAACACAAATACCAATAAATTGATTACAATGCTAACAAGCACAGCCAAAAATAACTAAACTACATCTATAATTGTTTCAGTGCCAGAGAAAATCATTTTTTTTATATTCTTTTCTTTTTTTGCACTTTCATTTTGCTACTTCCTCAGTTTTTTGTCTTTATTGTAAATTTCCTTTTCTGAGTCAATATCCAAATAAGGATACAATTATGCAATAAATATTATTATTATTATTTTCAGCTATTTTTGTCTTTTGTATTTTTGCTATACTGCAAATTAAATTAAATTGTAGCTATAATTACAGAAATTGCCATTTAGGCTACACAGATTTTTTGTTCTCAAAAAAAAAAAAAAAATCTCCTAAGACGAGTCTCCACAGATCGGTTTTCTGTCCGGAACTTGCCGACTCATATTGTCGCAAAGCGCCGACTTGTCGTAAAACTCGTTTTGGTCTACCTCAAAACTTCGCTGGTTCCCGGCGTCCTTTGCGAATGATAGGTAGGACGCAGGTAACTAGTAATCGCCATATTGTTCCATTTGGGCCGGTTTTCCGGCCGGAAGGCACATGACTGGGTGACGTAATTTGAAAACATTCCAAGTTCCGTTCTGCGTAAACGTGTCTATAATACTACATTAAAGCCATGCTCAAACATACTACCTGCTTAGATTTACACATTTGAGATGTTTCTGACATTCCTCGCTGGTTCTGTGAAAATTTATAACAAAAGAAACAGTTTTTTATTCACCCAACTTTCAAAAGTAAAAGGAAACCCCTGAACGGCCGCGAGCATAAGCGCTGCCGTCAGGTAACCAAGGGAAATAGAACAAGCAACGAGAAAGTGACGGACCTCTTGTGGCTTGGTACACCATGACACTTGAGGCGGGAACCA